TTTTTTGGTTGTGATAAATTGCTGGCCACAATCTGGTCTATAGCGTTAGGTCTAACTTTACTTACTGATAGTAAGATTTTGATTCGAATTATAGATGAGTGTGTCCCACCAACAGACATTTCGAATTATCGTGAGGGGACCGGAATACATGTATTTCTTCTAATTRTAGAGGTTTTTTCAGGGGACTCTGCGTTTAGTTCGATTTATAGAGTTTTTYGAATTATCGAATGACTACTGTATATTCTTAATTGATGTATATAATTATAATATAATATATAAATGATATATAATTATAGATATAAATAGATATAATTATATACATATAATTAAAAACCTAAAGAATATTTAATTAATTTCATTAAAATTTAAAATACATTACAAAATGTACCTACATTTAGTTTATAACTAATATTAGATCTACAATTTGCAATAAATTAATCGTGGTTATTATCACATGAATTAACTAAAAAATGTATTGATGATAATAATAAATTAGAGCGTGAATCGCGTGTTATGGTTCAATTTTAATATATARTATATATCATCAACTGAAATAATTATCTCGTAGTACCTTAGAATTTGAGTTTCGAAAAGAAACAAARGCAATAAATACCTAAGATTTAATAAATAAAATGTTTCTTTTTTTAATTTTAGGATTGACGACATTTAAAAACAGTCAATCGGTCGTTGAACTAGTAATGTTGCTTTGTTCTCAAGAATGGCAAAATTCGTTACAAAAACACGCTGGTCTTGCATTTATCGAACTCATTAACGAAGGGCGGTAAGTTATTAATAAGGGTTGATTAATTTTTCGAGTCTCAATAACTTCATGTAGCTTTGATTATTATTAGATTATTGTCACATGCCATGAAAGATCATATTGTCCGCGTAGCTAATGAAGCCGAATTCATATTGAATAGGATGCGAGCTGATGACGTATTGAAACATGCCGATTTTGAAGTTCGTATTTTTAATACTATTTTTTTATTTAATATTTTAATAATCAATCACAATTGTTATATTATGTATAGGTACGCAGTTCACGTATTAAATACTACTTATATTTTCTGCGTTTTTTTTTTTTAGGCCCACTGTGCTCAGACAACGCTGGAACGCCGAGAAGAAGAGAAAATGTGCGATCACCTAATAACGGCAGCGAGACGTCGGGACAGTGTGGTCGCAAGTCGTATTCTAGACAAAATCTGTAACATATTATCCAATAAACACGGTGCTTGGGGATATCTTCACGAGAACATACCCATAAGGTACCTGTAGCAGTAGTTTTCCGTATATAGAAGTTGACGATAAATTATTGTCATTAACACTGATCACTCTGCACACTGTTCGTTTATTAGAATGTCTCAGTTTTGGAAATTGGACGTATGGGAGGACGACGCGAGGCGACGCAAACGGTTTGTGCCCAATCCGCGGGGAACAACGCATCCGGAAGCCACGTTAAAGGCTGCATTAGAACACGGTGCACCGCAAGACGCTATACTACAGGTCTTTTGACATAATATTATCATCTGGATTTTGTTTCTGTTCAATAAACACTAATGCGTGTTCATTATTATCTCAGGCCAGAGAAGAAGTTTTTCACGCTCAACTGGTGGCTATGAGCACACAAAGCGGCCCGGGTAGTCAATCCTCCGACCTACTTGATGATTCAGAACTAATGACTGATGACAGAGAACTAGACGCCGATCTTGTTGGTAAGTGAACTTCATCGCTTAGCACATTKACGTGAAATTCAACTATTTAATAATAAAATTATTCGCTAATCTTCAATATATATACTTAATCTATACACTATACGGGATCAGCTTGTGTTATGTTACTGCCATCTACAACCTATATATATGGCTATAATATATATAGTATATTATATATATAAATATATATTATTACGTGGTAAATCTATTTAGGAATATAAATGCAGCGTACAACTCGTACAAAGATACACGTATCTGGAATATATGTATTTATTTTTTTCATGTCAGTTTAGAGATCGTTATTTTTTGTTTCGTATAGGGCCAGTAAACATCAGCACAAGGGCGTCGTTAATATCTGCTGGAGTTGTTGCACCTGGTATCGTGTCCATAACATCTGCAGAATTATACTTTGAAGTCGATGAAGATGATCCTGAATTTAAAAAACTCGATCCTGAGGTAAGTGCTTGATTCTATATAAGTATTTGGCTTATTTATTCATGGATAGGTATGTTTGTTTGTACTCAAAGATTTATTTGTTTATGGAGCTCAAATAYATTGTACAACGAATTCAATGACATATTATACGACGCATTTAGTAAAACTAATAGGTTAGGTGAACATTTACGGTTGAATACCTACTATTGTGGCATTGCAGTCCCTTTAAAATTTGATCCATCGTAACCAAACTATGTTAACACTGAAATGTTGTATGTTCCGTTGGAATCATAATATATTATATTGGACTTATTATTATTATAAAATTGTATTGAAAATTGAAATTATATAATTAATGAATGCACATTTACATGATGCTATAAATCAAATCTTATCGCCYTTGGTTTTTGTATAAATAAATGCTTTACCCCAATTTTCTATGTAATTGATCTCTGTGAAACTATAATTAATCAATGTCATGCACAACGAAGAATTTTTTCTCAGCAATCAATGTAAATTGTTGTATCTTRTACGGATCGTATTGGACGTAACATATCGTTCATTATGTTTGTCAATGTATTATTATGCTATAGGAGACTTAATAACGAATGGAATCATAATATGTTCAAACCGTTTTATAACGTACACCCGTTCACCAATCGATATTATGATAATTACTTATTTTCCCTTTTTACACGATTAAACTTTCAGTGCTATTTTTTTGAATTCTTACAAATGCATAGTTGATACTCAACGATATAGCATATTTAACTTTTCATTTATAACCCTGGAATTGTTATATATTTGAATAAAATAGGTCGTATAAACAGTTTTAAAATTTTGAATACGACTCTAGTACCTATAGTAAAAACCTTAACATTAACCAGTTTGCACACACACAACATCATTAATCCTTTTGAGTTTTATGAGTCAATTTTACAAGATTGAATTTACAATATAATTATATAATATAATATACCAATTACTAGGATCCAAAATATACACTGCACCAAATCATTATTATTATTATTATTATTATTTTGTGGAAATTATCTCCCTGCACCCTAAGATTTGCACCACTAAGCGCAGTGGGATCTAGGGGGTGCGAATAATCCATATGTAGCCGTTAAAATTAAAGTTGAAAACTAATTTAAATGTGTAAACATATCTATATAATATGATATATAATAATATATTGTTTATATTATTCATCTAGTTCTCGTTTGACTTAAGGTATAAATTAATAAGAGTATCATTCATAAAGTAATTTGGAGTTCATTCATTGATTTTTTTGTGTCTTATAAATTATATATCAATGGAAATCGATTAATATTTTTAAAACACCGTGATTTAATAGTTTTTCCAATCACTAAGAATGGTAATGCGTCAATGCGTGATATTCATTATAGTATTTGCATAAACCATCACAGTTACCCWATATTTAATAACTTTATAATCAGGTGCTGACGATTCACGGCGTGAATATATTATCTAAATTAAAGTGAGCCGTAGTAGATAATAAAATAATCTMATAGATCTGTACACAATAAAACGAACATGACGAATGATAAAACTAAATTAAACTAAACTAAAAACAAATTTGTACAAACATTTATAGAATACGAAATTGACGTTAATATTGACGTGCGGATTTACTGTAAGAACTTGCATGTGATTTTTATACATATCTACTAAAAATCTAAAGCACAAAAACTGCGTTCTGAAAAAATAATAATATAACACTGTTTGCTTGTACAAATATTAATCGCAAGTTAACGTATGTACCTACCTATATATTATATATATTATGTGTATTTAGTACCTATATATGATATATTAATACGCATGGAATTTTAGAAATCTGAGTTCAGCTTCTRTTAAGCATTTGCCATGACTAAGCCGATTGTTCCTGCGTACGCATATATATATAGGTTGGTACCTGGCTATATGTGAACCACACGGTGGTGTCCATAAATACAAATAGTACATCAGCCGTATTTAAACCTAATGGTAAACATAAATAATTGACTGACGTTAAATATTGATAGATTATTGCATATCCGTTAGCCATAACTCATCGGCGTACGAGTATATATGTATTATAATACAATACATACATATTAGGTACATATGTATACCAGTGGTCGATCGTCYTATTAGACCGTATGCGCAGGAAATATGTTTACGCAGGTTCCATGATAAATAGTGAAATTATTGTAATTCAATATAATATATAGGTGTATATATATACATATATTACAGTAGTCTATACCTTTAATAGTATCGAAAAGAGGCCTACACATCGCGGTCGTCTCGTCATTATTATCCATATTATTATGACTTGAGGCCACCGACATGTGTCTGTCAAATACTACTGTTTGGGCACACACACTCGCGTGCGCGGATTACCGTTGAAGAAATATATTATATATTTCGGTAGAATAAATTACGAGACGACCAATACACACTGAAATTTAATAATATGCGTGTCGCTCCTGTGGGGGCTGTCGGACTCGATTTTGCGTATTAACGTTGAACATTTATAATAYTGTAGGCCGCGACGAAGCCGAGTAGCAACTGACTAGAGATGAAAATATTAAGCAGATTACATAATTAGTTTTACGCCTAATATAACCTTAATATTATCTGATGATTGGATGATAACTGTGAACCAAAAAATACCTATTATATATTTATGTAAAAAAGTCAGCCGTTGCCGTCGGATAGCTTTTTAAAGATATATCTAAGAAAACGGATTT